CTGGTAGACACACTCATGCAGCCTGAGCACATTTACCAGCCAGGCAGTTCGAAACTACAAACTGATACATCTAGTAATAATAAAACTTACCTAATGAGAAAATACCAGACATGTTATATGTCTGGTATTTTCTCAGTTTGGTTTTTATGTGTTTATATTTTTAGGCTGCAAAAAACAGTTCTGAAAAAGTAAAAAGTTTGGGAAAAGACACACTCATGCAGCCTGAGCACATTTACCAGCCAGGCAGTTCGAAACTACAAACTGATACATCTAGTAATAATAAAACTTACCTAATGAGAAAATACCAGACATGTTATATGTCTGGTATTTTCTCAGTTTGGTTTTTATGTGTTTATATTTTTAGGCTGCAAAAAACAGTTCTGAAAAAGTAAAAAGTTTGGGAAACCCTGGTCTAACCAGCTTTCTGTCTGTCTTACAGTCCATTTATCCAATCCATATTCCTTAACTTGCTGGCAAGAATATTGTGGGTGACCGTATCAAAAGCTTTGCTAAAGCTGGCACTGGGGGTTTCAGGAGGACCAGAAACAACTTATTTGAATATTCATCATTCGATTAATGAATATTCAAATATGTAAATGACCATTACTGATCCTCCAAAAGTTCATGAATGGATTTACTGGTCCCTGTGTCAAAAAGTTTGGGAACCCCTGAACTAGAGCAATCTACAAGCATCCGTGACAATGGCATTTTCCTCTACATGGGTAATATTCAATGCTGCTGGGATACAGCCTTTGGCTTCATTCTTTAATCTGTCCCCTTCATGCCTCCCCGGCCACACGGTCACATGCTCATTGGGGCCTCTGCCTGGCATTAAGGCACGGAACCTCCATGTCACTATGTAGACAGCAGGCAGCTTGTTCTGGAAACCATCTTCTTGTTGCAGCTTTTCTCCTTTCAGTTTATTCCTCGGTGGCAGGGGCATGGGATAAACTCCTTGCTGTGGCGGGGCTACTCAACATGTTAAATGATGAGCTTTGCAATGCAGTGTTTCACCTGTACTGACAATTTTAGGGCAGCCTCCCTCTAGTACAAGTGCAGTTGTAACCCACACTCTAAGTGTGGTTACTGAGCAATGCAAGTGGCACCTAGACCACAGCAACAGTTAAGAACAAGAGACCTCTACAGGAGGGGCTGCGAGCCAGCTGGCTTTTAGCTCAGAGGTTCCAGGTTCAAATGCGCCCAGTGGCGATTACAAGCTCCTGGAGTTGAATCCAGTAGTTTGGGGTCAGACTTCATGAGCGAGCAAGCAAGCAGGGCAGATGCTTTTGTAAGGCCTGTGTGGGCTGGAGGAAGCTAAGCCAGGAGCAGAGAACTGGCTGCTGCTGTTCCTCACTCTGGAGCACTTTGCAGCAAGGTTTCTTTACCTCTGTTCACCTGAGAGCTAACTGACTAGTTAATCAGTGAGCTGGCTGCCTAGCAGTGACCATAGCAGAGGAAGAGTCTGCCTGGATTCCAACTGAGGATTCCCTACAAGCAAGTGGAGAGAGACTTTAGACTCAGCATACAGTGCAGATTTGATATCAGAGGCACAAACTGAGACGTTGGTGAACCAAATCGAAGCTCTTGGGACCTCTCAGTCTTTTCTTACTGTGTTTGTGTGGACTGAACTGTTCAAATTTCACTTTTAGTTTTCTCTTTACTTATGTTTATTGTAATTATAGATATTATTTGTGGGTTATAAAACAGCTGTGTTCTGTTGTAAGAATTAGATTGTTTCTTCATAAAATTGTATAAAGTTATTTAATTAAATTCATTATTTTAGTTCTTTTGGAACTTGAATGTAAGGAGGCTGACACAGGGCAATCCTTGCTGAAATTCCTTGCAGACTAAACTCAGGGTCTCCAGTACTGCTGCGGAAGTGGGGGTTTCTTTAGACACTGGAGAAGGGCAGTGAAGTCTAGCCCACCCACGGTTACACAGCTCTGCCGGACAAAAACAGCATTGGGAGAACCCAGCCACCAGGATTAGCACTGATGTCACTTAACTTTACTGAGGGAATGGTAGGTTGGTAAAAATACCAGAGCCTGTCTACACGAGTACTCCCATGCTTGCTACCAATAGTGGAGCTGCACCAGTGGTAAATTCTGTTCAAAAGCACTTTGAGGAAAACCTCTCACTTCCTCTTTTTTTGTGTCTGTCCATCTTCTGCCCCAACCCCGCTCTTTTGTCCCTCTCCTTCCACCTTCTCTTTCAGATTCTGGAAGACCAAAATACTAATTGTCCCTATTCATATTTCTACTCCTCTTGCTGCATTCACCATCTCTCTCCCCCACAAGATACTGACTCAGAAGTGGGCAATAACTGGGCTGTGGGCCAGATGCAGTTCATCAGGGTGAGTCCTTGGGGGTTCCTCTATTTACCTGTGATGCTCCCATTGATTGCGGATCACTGTTCATGGCCAATGGGATTTGCAGGAAGTGGCTTTTCAGTCTGCACTGCTTCCCACAGCTCCCATTGGCTAGGAACAGTGATTTGCAGCCACCAACAGCTGCTCTCGCTAGTACCGGTAGAGGTGCAGGTAAATAAAGAGGTGGCAACCTACCAGGGCCTAACCCGTTTTATTGCCCACCTCTGTATTAACTGATCCAATATCTGTACCAAACTGCTGAGATCACTGTACCTGTTCCCCACTTTGGCACCTGCCAATAACTGAAGGGGGAGGCGGGAGAAAGGAGACTCCTGATCATACTGACTTTCATCCTATTTTCTTCCCTCAAGATTCACCCTTACTCTTTGCTGCAACAATACTTTCTGTAGTCAGCTCAGTTAGGCTGTGGCAGTGGATATTTTAAGACCAAGCTAAATCCATGGAGGGGAAAGTAACCTTCCTTCTAGGTTCGATCCACCCTCTGAAGATTTGGTGGTGGGAGAAGAAAGGAATGGAGTTAAATAGCCTTCAATGGAGAGGAATCTTGTGGGAAAGTACTACAATCTCACTGGCTCTTATGTTAAAACTTGTGATGGTGAGGTGGAGTCCCACGTGATCCCAGCTATGTCCCCAATGACTTCCTCTCTAAAGTGTTCCAGCACATCTTAGAAGCTCTTGTGAAAAACAAGCAACATTGTTGTGTGTTATATCCAGAGGGGAAAGCAAGCTGGTACGACTTGGTAGGCCATACCAACAAGGAAGTGGCTAGATCTGATATGCTGTACCAGCTATTTATAGCGGGCAGTGCGTATCAAAAAGACACTGTATCACCCTCAACTGTACAGCAGCAGCTCCAGAGGAGAACAGGCCTGGGGAGGTGAGGCTGGGAGTGGTACAGCAGCCGGAAGAGCTGCCGGAGTTCTGCTACTTAACACTCCTCCCCCCACCTCCCACCCTATCCTCCAGCAGGGCTGCTGCTGTTCCAGCTGGAGGAGAGGCACATCTGTAGAGGGGCAGGGCTGTGGTTTCTGCTCCATTCCCCACTGGCAGGGGCAGAGCGGGGAAAAGCAGAACTACTGGTAGCATTCCCACTGTTGTACTGCCTCTAGCCCTCTTTCCTCCCCCGTAATGTGGGATGGGGCAAGGAAGAGCATGGGGGCTTCAGACTGGGGTGCCTCCCACACTACGGTCACATAGCTAAGGTCACGTGCCTCCCCCCCACCCAGCTGGTGTGCCCTTCCTATACCAGGAAGAAAATAATTTTACTCTCACCCAGCAGGGCCAATGGTCTCACTAGGCCCCTGGGCAAGGTGGGATAGAGGCAGAGCCTCAGGCAGAAGGGATGGAGCTGGGAGTAGGCAGCCCTCAGCACCACCCAGAGAGCTCTGTGCCTCCCCCAGGCAACTCTCAGCGCTGCCTGACTGTGCTGTGTGGCCCTCCGGCATTGATTTAAAGGGCCTGGGGCACCAGGCCCTTTCGTATCACTGGGCCCCAGGGCAGTAGCTCTCTTTATGCCCCCATCAATGGGCCTGCATTCACCCCTGATTTCACCTGACCGACTAATCAGCAGATAATAGATTTGGCATCAGTTCATTTTTTAACCACTTCTGAGGCAAAAAGTAGCAATTAATAGCAGCCAGCCACACCACCCAAAAGGCTAGGGCAGAACATAGAAAAAATTCTGTGCCCAACTAAAATGCCAAGGGGATGCAGACTAGCAAAAAGTCCTTATTCAAACTGATTTCAAGTTGCTTTTTTGGAAATCAGCCTACTATCCAAGTGCTGCACTATCAAAGCCATAAGGCTGGTGCGAGTTTCCAACTCTATGACAGAGAATACAAGTTACCTCTTTCTCTGATCAGCAGCGCCAATGCCTCACTATTTGGCGAGATCTTATCTCCTGCGATGTTTGGTAAGTACACATTGGCTCCAAAATCAATGAGTAGTTTTATGAATTCACTCCCACAACCATGTCGTAGGCAGATTTCAAGCACAGTCTTGGGCTGCTTGATTCGTGAGATCATTTTCTTATCAGTGCAGTTGTAATTGGGATCCGCTCCATAAAGCAGCAGCATTTTAAAAGACTCCAAGTGTCCGTAGACAGCTGAGAGATACAAAGGGCCTGAACAGGCTGCAGAATTGGCAGCCCACTCTGGGACTCTTGCTTTAACATTGACTTCTGCCCCATAGTCTAAGAGTTCTTGCAGAATGCTGACATCTCCATCTCTAGCGGCCGTGAGCAGCGGAGAACAGTTATTGTAGATGCTGCCAGAAGGACTAGCCCCTGCCTCCAATAGTGCTTTAACACAATCCAGATGGCCATTACTAACAGCGGTGAATAGTGGAGTTTGCGCCTTCACGTCTAGGCTGTCCACTTCTGCTCCATGGGCCAAGAGAACTTCCAAACTTCTCAGATGGCCCTTAGAAGCTGCTAGGCGCAATGGGGTCCCGGGTACACCCCAACCACTTCTGCTGTTAATAACTGATTTGTATCTGTCTTGGCACAAGAGTTCATCAAGAGTTTGAAAATCATCCTGGGACACTGCTTGCTTCAGCTCTTGTCTTTCTCCATTATCATCTTCATCTTCTCTTGGCTGGAGCATGGAGAAGATTTTGGTTATGTCCACTAGATTCATTTTTGGGTTGTCTCTTATGAACAATGCTCATCATGAGCTGTGTAAAGCATGAGATCTATGGAACAAGAAACAGGATTAGCAGCTAATTCTAAAAAGAGACTCATTCTCCAATCTGGGGAAGCTCAAACTGAAATGGAGGAGCATAAGGACAAAATAATTGATTACCTGAGTCATTCCTTCCTCAGACAAAACACATTTATTCCAACACTGCTGGGAAAACCACACTCTTGAAGTTTTACGACAAAAATGATCTGAACCAATGCTCCAGTATGAGCCTGAGCCAAAAAGCCTCAATCTACCTGCATCCATCTAGGTGATTCAAAAAGCAACAATTACTGTGGCACCTACTACCAATTCCTATCCTGGTTTTGCATGGATTTTTTAAGGGTGAAGGAAGAGCATATAGGATTAGGCATGGAACTAGTCTTAGTCACAAGACTTGGCTTCCGTACCATCTTGTTGTAAGACTCTGGGGAGGACACTTAAGGCTAGAGTTTTGGATGAGTTCAGAATCCAACAAGTAAATGAGGCAGCTAGATTTGCAGAAGTGCTGGGAACTCGCCTGCCCCCATTTTTCTTAATGAGAGTTGGATGCTGAACACTTTTGAAAATCTGGCCTTTAAACTCACCGTGCCTCAGCAAATGCCATCTGTAAAATGGGAATAATGCTGCTTAGCCAACAGCCACTTTTGCAAAGTACTTTGAGGCCAAAATAATATTCTCAAGAAGGTAAAGGAGCTGGCAGTTTTACTGGCATTTACAAGTACAATGAACAACCAGCCTGGATGTATTTTTCTCTCTTGCAATTTTTGTGGTACAGCTATAAAAACTCCACCGGCCACTTTTGTAACAACTCGTTTTCTGCATATAAAAGCCACGGACAACATTAGAGGGTAACAAGCAGAGCAACTGCCCAAAGCCCTAATATCATAAACAGGGGGCATCAGGAAGCTAAGTTGCTCAGGCTTCTGGTTCGGCCCCAGATGGTGGGATTCAGGGCACCAGCCTTAAGCCCCATGCAACGGGGCTCCACCAAGTCTAATACTCACCCCTGCTTGGCAGACCCCAAAACTTACTGGGGGGTGCACCAGCCTTAAGCCCCATGCAACGGGGCTCCAGCAAGTCTAATACTCATCCCTGCTTGGCAGACCTCAAAACTTACTGGGGGGCCCTGAACCTCTGATTGAGAACTACGGTCTTACAGAGCAGGTTTTCCCTATCGCTGAGCAAGGCAGCAGAACCAAGCTGCATTTACATGTGTCTTACAAGGAGGGGAAATATCTGACAATTGCTTTTCTTACATAGAAGCTGTAATGGAATATGGAGGTTTGCCATATAGGATCAGTCCATTGATCCGATTAGTTTGGTATCTAGCCTCTGCCCTGGCCAATTCTTAATATTTCTGAGGAATGTGAAATCCCCCACAATGCACCTGATCAGCTGTGAAATGCTCTTGCTTAGGGAAGGGCAGAAGAAATTCTTCACACATTCCAATCCCAAAGCATCTAGAGTTTCCTCTAACAGAAACTGTGTCTGCCTGTTTCTTCTCCTAAATGACTGCTGCACATACTTCTATTAGGAGTTGAAATTCTCTATTTGTTAAGTGATAAGTTAGTTGCATAATGCGGCTAGTCTACTCCTGCAAACACGTCTCTGACAAAAATGAAACTAACACCTCAAGAATACACTTCATAATACAAAGCTAGTGAGTATCTACTTAAGCGTAAACAACTAGAGACTGGGGGGTGGGTTATTGTCCCCTCCCGCCACCAAAAACAGGGATTGTATTAATAAAGGAAATGCTGAATTGGAATAGAAGTTCATTTATCTCACTTTATTGAAAGCAGACAGATTTCGTTATGATCCAAAACTATTCATTAAAATGGCATTCAGCAGCATTATTACTTTTAACTAAAGCTCCCATAAAAAATAGTCTGTGTCCCACTCTAAGGAAGTTCCCATGTACCATTCTATCTTAGCTGCAACCTTTTCTGAATTAGTTGAATTAGTTTTGTGGCAGTTTGCAACTACATGAATCTGTTGCATCCGTATCTTCTAATCTAAACTACTTCAGTACATTTCAAATAATTAATACAGCAATGAAGCCTTGGGATACTAGAAGAGTAACATAATATTTTACACAACTGATTTTTAAATATAGGATTTAATTTGAAAGGAATGCACAGCTGTACTTAAAGGAAAAGATACTGAAAACAAAGGAGAGCTATAATATTTATAAAACCAAATCAACATATTAGAACTGTGTACCAAAGCATCCATGCAGTAACCCTCTTGACAGTGTAAATACTGTAGTGAAAAACATATTTCATATAATTACTGATCAGAATAGTCAACAATGAGATCACCATCTATAGACTGAAGGAAAACATGCGCATGTTTGATCTTCAAATAAAGAGTTTGGTCATAGTTAACAGACTGTAACACCAATAGTACATATACTTACACACTTAAAGCTGTGGTTACCAGGTTACATTAAAGTTGCCAAAGCTGCTTGGCCATCATTATGTTGCTGTCTTACCTCTGTGAGGTAGCCAATGCTCACCTAGTGCTGTGAAGCAGGCTCCTGTCCCATGGCTAATTCTCTTTCACCTTAAAAAGAGAGAGAGAGAGAGAGAGAGAGAGAGAGAATTTCCTCAGGAGGAGAAACCTCACTCAGGCATGGGGCACCAATTCTGCAGATCTGCAGCAACACAGGTCATCAGGCACACAGCTGAAATGCCAGTCACAGGGATAAAGGCCAGGGCTGTCGGACTAATTTTAGCCCATAGGCGTTTTATCTTGCTACTTCCATTCTTGGAAAGTTCCCACTGAGAAGGGTAAATATAGAGGGATGGGATAGTGATGCTTTGGAGGGGGCTGGGGGATTGGGAGAAGTAAGGGGGGAACAATCAGGCAGATGCTGTGGGGTGTTGGAACCAGGATATGAGCAGACCAATCACACACATTGGTTTAAATGCACCCTCTCCACAGTCAGTCAATTTATGCAGACTTACCTGAGTATTTTCCTGCCCTGGATTGCAGCATCCTTACTGAGTTAAGTTACACCCACACTGGCAGTTTTTATAATCTAACTCTTGTTCTGTGCTTTGCTACCTACAAATAAAACAGATTTCTCAGCCACTAATCCCCTCTTTCCCCCACCAACTTTTGCACCTTCAGAGCAATGTGCCATTGATTTCCAAGCTTTCAATTTCTTTTATTGTTAACCTGTGGAGAGAGTGAGCCTGCCCTCATTTCTAAAAGGAAAATGCTGTGTATGTTTTCATAAGACTTTACTGAATGCAAGAATGGCCATACCAGATCAGGCCAAAGGTCCATTTAATCCTGTGTCCTGTCTTCTGACAGTGACCAATGCCAGGTGCCTCAGAGGAAATGAACAGAACAGGAAATCATCAAGTAATCCATCATCCCTGCCCATCCTGGCTAATAGCCATAGATGGACCTATCCTCCATGAATTTATCAAACTCTTTTTTGAATCCTGTTAAATTCTTGGACATCACAACATCTTCTGGCAAGGAGTTCCACAGGTTGTCTGTGCATTGTATGAAGAAATACTTCATTTTGTTTGTTTTAAACCAGCTACCTATTCATTTCATTTGGTGATCCCTAGTTCTTGTGTTATGGGAAGGTTTAAATAACTTTTCTTTGTTCACTTTTCCCACACCAGGCATGATTTTATAGACCTCAGTCATATCCCCCCCCTTAGTCATCTCTTTTACAAGTTGAAAAGTCCCAGTCTTATTAATTTCACGTCATATGGCCGGCTGTTCCAGACACCTGATCATTTTGGTTTCCATTTTCTGAACTTTTTCTAATACCAAAATATATTTTTTTGAGATGCAAATATTTTTTTGAGATGCAAAGATCACCTGCATGCAAGATTCAAGCTGTGGGCATATTGTGGATTGATATAGAGGCAATAAGATATCCTCTGTCTTATTCTCTATCCCTTTTTAAATGATTCCTAACGTTGTTTGGTTTCTTGACTGCTATTGCATATTGAGTGGATGTTTTCATAGAACTATCCACAATGACTCCAAGATCTCTCTCTTGAATGGTGATAGTTAATTTAGTTTCCATTGTATTATATGTATAGTTGGGATTATGTTTTCCAATATTCATTATTTTGCACTTTATCAACATTAAAATTCATCTGTGATTGTGTTGTACAGTCACCCAGTTTTGTGGGATCTTTTTGAAACTCTTCACACACTGCTTTGGACTTAACTATCTTGAGTAGTTTAGTATCGTCTGCAAATTTTGCCACTTCACTGTTTACCCCTTTCTCCAGATAAGTTATGACGATGGCATTCAATCATATGGACCAGCATACACCCTCCTTTACAACCACCTCTTTGACATTACAAAATTAAACAGCATGCAACAAGTCAAAAATCTCCTCCAGTATTTTGGTAGGGTAAACAAAATGAGGAGGATTAGCAGCCACATTTGGACTGACTTTTCAAAAGCTGTCAGCTGGTAGGAGTGTAATGTTATCTTAAGCAGTTCACTTTAAACCTTCTGGAGTGGGGGAGTAATAGTCTGACAGTCTGAAGCAGTGTTATCTGGTGCTATATCAAGAAATAAACTAAATTATCCAGGAGAAGGATCTCTAATACAAGAACTATATCAGGCACTTGGAGAGAATTTTTTTTTTTTTAGGGGGGTGGCACGAGTGGAGGGGTATAGTTACAATTAGTTTGTTCAGTACTTTGAAAATTGTGAAGTGGTATGTAACACTAAGAATGAAATAAATGAAATTACATTTGAAACGCACTGAATAACTTTCAGTCTATTTGGAATTTCACTAACTGACACTATGATATAAAGCAGATTCTATTGGAGGAAAGGGCTAATTTCCTAAAGTCTGGGAATATTGTGAACATTGATTGGGAGGAAAAATATCAACAGAAAAATGTGAATTAAAATTGGGAGTTGTTTAAGAAGAGTTTATTAGATGGCCATGATTCCACATCAGGAAAGATGATAACTTGGGTTATAAAGATATCCTAGCTCAATGGTGAAAAAGAGACAGAAAATAGAAATAAAAAAGCGTCATAAATTGGAAGAATGGGAAATGGATAGTAATCAATACAAATATAAAGTTATGAAGTATAGAAAATTGACAAGGAAAGCTAGAGAGTGCGGAAAATATACAGCCGGCGGCACAATGGATGTTTAAGAGTTTAAGTCTATAAATAACTAAAGAACTCCAAGCAATGGTATGGATGGATAAAGATGATAAATGTTACTGATAAAAAGGCAGCAATGTTCAATATTCTATTCTTTATTTGAAATGAAGCAGGATGTTGTATTCATAGCACATTAAGATAATAAAGTACTTTCTAATTCACTAAACTAAGGATGATGCTACTAGGATAAACATTTTTAAAATCAGCAGGCCAGGATAACATGCACCCAAGACTTCTAAAAAATTGGCTGAGGAAATCTCTGGCCCACTGATATTACATTTTAATAAATCTTGGAATACTGGAAGATAATCTCTGGCCCACTGATATTACATTTTAATTAATCTTGGAATACTGGAAGAATTCCAGAAGACTGGAAGAGTGCTAATGAATCAGTATTCAAAAAAGGCAAGTGAAATGACCTGAGTGACTGAAGACACATTAGTCTGATATTGCTCTGGGACTAAATAATGAAAAAAGCTTATTTAAAACATTTAAATTGATAAATGTCAGTCAACACGGTTTTATGGAAACT